CTGTCTGTGCATAATATACTACAACTATATTTAAAAAGTGGCTGGACTTTGTCTGTGCATAATATACTACAACTATATTTAAAAAGTGGCTGGACTTTGTCTGTGCATAATATACTACACCTATATTTGAAAAGTGGCTGGATTTTGTCTGTGCATAATATACTACAGCAATATTTAAAAAGTGGCTGGACTTTGTCTGTGCATAATATACTACACCTATATTTGAAAAGTGGCTGGACTTTTTCTGTGCATAATATACTACAACTATATTTGAAAAGTGGCTGGACTTTGTCTGTGCATAATATACTACAACTATATTTGAAAAGTGGCTGGACTTTTTCTGTGCATAATATACTACAACTATATTTGAAAAGTGGCTGTATCTTGTCTTTGCAATCCTGAACAAAGAAATTATAAATTATCTTTTTTTTAAATGAAGATCTGATGAAGGTTCTCGTCAGTTAGAGAAAAATTCACCCTTTGCATCTTTCGCCAAACAGACCTTTCAGTCACAAACAGTATCACTACTTGGTTCTTGCTGAGTTTCAGGATACTCGTGGACAGCTACACATATAGTTGTCTCTAGTTTCAGGATATTCGTGGACAGCTACATATATAGTCGTCCCTAATTTCAGGATATTCGTGCACAGCTACATATTGTCGTCTCTAGTTTCAGGATATTCGTGGACAGCTACATATATATAGTCGTCTCTAGTTTCAGGATACTCGTGCACAGCTACATATATAGTCGTCTCTAGTTTCAGGATACTCGTGCACAGCTACATATAGTCGTCCCTAGTTTCAGGATACTCGTGCACAGCTACATATAGTCGTCTCTAGTTTCAGGATACTCATGCACAGCTACGTATAGTCGTCCCTAGTTTCAGGATACTCGTGCACAGCTACATATAGTCGTCTCTAGTTTCAGGATACTCATGCACAGCTACGTATAGTCGTCCCTAATTTCAGGATATTCGTGCACAGCTACATATTGTCGTCTCTAGTTTCAGGATACTCGTGCACAGCTACATATATAGTCGTCTCTAGTTTCAGGATACTCGTGCACAGCTACATATTGTCGTCTCTAGTTTCAGGATATTCATGCACAGCTACATATATAGTCGTCTCTAGTTTCAGGATACTCGTGCACAGCTACATATAGTCGTCCCTAATTTTGAATTGAGAGACTAAAGGAAAAGCAAGTAACGTCTATATCACCCACCGCCAATAGTTGGGATACCCATATCTGACAGAAAAGTGATATTTAAGCTATTTATCTTACGTGATCTGACTTGTTTATTCTATACGGTACCCTCGGCTTTAAAGTGCGGAGCGCGTTTTTGCGGCAACACGTCGTTAACCATGAACTCTCGGATTCACAGTCTGGGTACACTTCCTCAGCAACACTACTACAGAAAGATACATAAACTCTTTGATTGCCTACGAGTGTACACATATATATATATACCCAAATACTTTGCATTAAGACAAAGCTTTTACTAACGTGAGCACATTTTGAGCCAACACCTTGTAATAATGAAGTCAAAATTAATCATTAGATTATATTTTCCACATTGTGGAATATAGTCATGAGAGACATGCGGAAGTCATGATTACCCCATACATCTGTTTCACGTCTTGGAAACAGGAGGAATAGAACTACCAATATACACATTTACAGCTACATAAAACGACAGATCAAAGCCGCTGAATGTGCTTTCCTGGCTCTAGCCAGAGTTACAAAAGTGCAGAGTCAGCTATTTCTCAGCTCTTAGAACCATTTCAAAACTTTGAAATCCTACTCTTTTCGAAATTTGAATACGTTTCACGTGATCTAACTTGTTTATTGGAACGCGGGAACTCCTCGGCCATTAAATACTCGTGGATTTTCTTTCTTTAGTTATCAATGGTTTATCAAAGGAAAACATCTTATAAACCTGAAGCAGACAGAAGATTTTAACTTTAGAATTTTGTGTATACATTTTACAATGGAAGTTTTTGTTTGTTGTTTTAAGAATCTATTTCCAATTTGTTTGCTGAGGCCCCGGCGTGGCCAGGTGGTTAGGGCGCTCGATTTACAATCTGAGGGTCGCGGGTTCGAATCCCCGTCACACCAAACATGCTCGCCCTTTCAGCCGTGGGGACGTTATAATGTAACGGTCAATCCCACTATTCGTTGGTAAAAAAGAGTAGCCCAAGAGTTGGCGGTGGGTGGTGATGACTAGCTGCCTTCCCTCTAGTCTTACACTGCTAAATTAGGGACGGCTAGCGCAGATAGCCCTCGTTTAGCTTTGAGCGAAATTCAAAACAAAGAAATAAGCATGAAACATATTTTATGATAACATCAAAAAGAGCTATTCATTTTACTGTAACCAGTAGCTACAGATGTAACTTTATTACTGGATATGAATAAGTAAAGTTAGTTTTTTAAATACAAATATTTACACAGTTATTAAAATAAATACCTGTAGTGTTCAAAGGCCTTTCTTTGTTTCTAAGTTTCTAAGCCTCGTCCATATCTTCTTGCAACCATATTAACTAACTTCTCTAGTTTCTAAGCCTCGTCCGTATCTTCTTGCAACCATATTAACTAACTTATCTAGTTTCTAAGCCTCGTCCATATCTTCTTGCAACCATAGTAACTAACTTCTCTAGTTTCTAAGCCTCGTCCATATCTTCTTGCAACCATAGTAACTAACTTCTCTAGTTTCTAAGCCTCGTCCAGTGAGGATAAGTTTGTTTCCTTTCCAGTCCACGTAACACTGCAAGCAAGTGTAAAAAAAAAACTAACAGAAGGATCGAGTTTATATGGGCTCCGCCGGTAGCTCTTGGCTTGATTGAGTTTCGGTATTAGTTCCAATTTGTAAAAGAAGTTTCATTAAGACTTACTAATGCCTTTCTTTTAGATGAGATATCAGGCTTTATAATCCATTTAATGACCGTTCACGTAAAGTAAATCCAGTGTCTTAAATAAAACTAGAAGGGTAGTAATAAGCTAATTTTTCTAATGTCTATATCAAAGGATTATGCTGTTTAACTTTTAAAAAGTTTCAATTTCTCTCCCATTTAAAGGCCAAATTAAGATAATAAACCTAGTAAACATATTCTGCAATATTTTATTTTGCGTTTCATAACCTGTTCGGACTGAAGTTTTGAAACATGTGTAATAAGAAC